AGGAATGATGGCTATGCCATGATTTATTGTGTACCAAAGAACAGACATGCAGATGTGTGGAGAAGCCACCCACTGAAATATCCATTCTGTATCCATATTTCAGTTCTCGGAGATTCATACTTCCAAGCATTAAAGCTCAAAGGCTTGTCTTGATGAACATCTTTTTATAGTCTCGTCATATTCATGCATAATGAGACTTGAGATACTGTCAGTCATTTTCATTTATCCTCTGCCTTTGTAATTGTTGTGTTACCTGCTTTAACTCAGTGTACATTTTCAGAATTTTAATGTGCCTAGGGATAGTAGCTGCGAGTAGCAAAAATGTGAATCAGGAATGAATGCTTTCTGTATTTTGAACAGTAGAGTTTTTCCTGACATTACATGCTACAGCCTTTTGTCTACATTATCTCTTAGGAAGATTCCTAGTCTTATTGTGGCTGACCAGGTCAATGTATATAGATGTAGTAAAGGAAGATGTTTCTGCTTCAGACACTTCAGTTTCAGGCAGGAGGAACAGGGATTTGAGGCTTAGAGGTCACTTGTGTTTCACTGGAGTGACTCTGACTCAGAGTCCAGCTGACTGGGAACAGAGATGTCAATGCCCAGAAAAGCTTCTCCCATCCAGGAGGGGTTGACTGGATATGAACAGTGTACTGTAAATATCTGCCTGGTTTTTGCTGTCTCTTGAGCCATGCCTGTAAATTTCTGGGGGGAGTGATAGCTGGGTGGCCAGAGCCAGCTGAGGCTGGTTTGCAGTGTTTAACAAGAGAACTCAGCTGTGTGGGATCATCCCTTGCACAGTTTCTCCTCCTGGGGTAGGAGCAGCCTGTATTGCCTCTGCTTTGCTCACGTACAGAAATATGTAGGTGACCATGTGAAATGGTCCATGTTGCAATTACACATGGGACACCTTTCTGCATCTCTATTTAGAATAATTTTGGGTCACTTATGAACTGTTTTCCAGCTATACATAGGTCACCATATGTGGTGCTGTTCCATATCTGTGTAACACACATGCTCTAACATGGAACAAATGCTCCTTTGAGATTGTATGTAACATCCAGACCCAAACTGATGTTATGACCCTTATTCATCCTTAGTAGTCAACAAAACCTGTGCTCACACTCTGCCACTTGCACTGACAGGAGTGGTGGCTTTCTAGCATTCAGGATTTGCACAAATATAGGTGGTATAGGAATATTTATTTTTCCTAAATATCAGCCAAAACTTTGGGTGTTAATCTGTCCCCATGGTGATGAGCATATATTTTCACAGTATATAAAGCTGTCAAAATCAAGCACTTGCATGTTAAATACTTCAGCATTGGAGTCTGCTAGCTTACCAGTTGGCTGATGTCGTGATATTTAATTATTGTTTCTTTATTGCAGGCTGAAAAAGCAGAAGGATTTATCAGACTTCCAGATTTCAGTGTGGACCGAGCAATTGAATGCAAAAAAAAGCAGTAAGTTTCTCTCTTGTGCCAGTTTTGCACGATTTTTATGATGTTGCAAGGAATGAATCTCAATAGTCTGATGCTGAAGCTGTGAGAGTTCTGTGTTGTATAAATAATGAGATACTGATTAAGCCACTGAAAGAAAACCATATTGCAAAAATATTTTTGATGTTCTTTGCTAAAACTACAAATAAAAAAATGGATCAGTATGCCAAATGTTCCCCCCCCCTTCTTTTTGTTCACTGATTATAAGGAAGCTCTAGCCTGTCTCAGATACCTCCTCTTAGCTGAAGAGGTCAGCAGTGGTGCAAGCAATGCTGCTTCGAGCTAGGACTATTCTTTGGACTGCTGTGGTGCAACCGAGCTTCAGCTGTACTTGAAGCCCTTGGTTGTGCAGGGGATAAAAACTTTATTTAGCAGTGTAGGCATTTGAAAATATTCTTTTCAAATTCCATATGCAGCACTGACTTCCAGCTGTTTCTGAGCATACTTCAAAGATTTGGAGGGGTGTTGCTATTGTTCAAAGTTACAAAGCTCAACATGTCTTTTATTGTGTCCCTAAAGTGAAGCCTTCATTGTTCTGTGGGCCTGACTCATCAAAGGAAAGGGGACAGCTATTTTGAATATGGGGAGTTCCATTTTGTTTTCTCAGAGGAAAGGTCAAGTCACACAGTACAGAACCATGAGAAAATATTGTCTTTCACTTCTGTGGCTGTTGGCTGTCAGTGACTAGAAGGGAAATGTTTTATCATCACTTATTTGTGATTGGATAAGTTAGGAAAACTGTGGGGATTGACCAGTACTGCTGGGTCAGCTAGAGCCCAGCCAAAATGTGTGCACGTGCTTCCATGAAACAGAATCTCCTAATGAGGAACAAGAGAGGGAAACCACCCACCCTCAGACACTATGTTTTAGGAAAAAAAGGCTTTGAAAACTCTGACTGGTGGATATTCAACTAAAGCTGAGACTGACAGGTTAACTGTTGGAGGTAGTCAGGGGACTAACTCCATTTTGTTTGTTTCAAACCTGCCGTGTAGTTGCCTCTGGTGCCTCCAAAAACTTGTCTAGGAAAAGTCAGTGAAGAATCAGTTGCTGTTCACCCACTGTGTGCTGCATGTGATTTTATTGTGTCACATGTCTCTTCCCTCAACCATGAGTTTTCCATGCCGTGAGGTCTTAGCCTGATGAAGCACTCATGGAAACTGTTCCATGCCTTGGGTCACTGCTGGTGCTTTCTCTGAACCTCTTTCAAGTTTGCTTTGCATTTCAGAGCTGGAGGATGCAAAACTGCACACAGTATTTGAGGTGTGGGAATGCAACAGAATTATGTAATGGAATAATTGAAGTCTTTGTTTTATTCTTTTTTCCTTTCTTTTTTTTTCTTGCAGTTTATGCCCTCTGAATAATATGTAGCCTAGCAAATGAGCTAAAAATAGACTAGTGTTTTAAGGAAAGAGCTATATGGATGGACAAACTAATCCAGATTAATACAGTGGGGTGAATAAATATTTGAAATAATTCATTCAGCTATTATATTTTCTTTCTTATGCAAACTAGCTTTCTTCATATCTTTTCAATTTTTCTTTTCCTAAAGTGCTATTAAGATCAGCCACCCACAGATCAAGACATTTTATTTTGCGGCAGAAAACGTTCTGGAAATGAATACGTAAGTAGGAGTGACTGGTCATGTTTCATCCTGTATCATGCCTGAGAGCACTCTGTGAAAGTTCATTCTTTCATTGCCAAGCAGTTGTTGACAAAGTTATTTGGGGAATTACTGAGTCTGATTTGTTTTCTGGTCACTGAATGGAAGGAAACTACTGCTATTTGTTCACTAATGACAGTTGTCAGAATTGCATAATTGACCCAATTTTGATCCTAATCTTCCCAACATTTTCTGGTATCAATTCTTTTCTGTCAGAGAGATGCAAGATTTGATAGTAAGTTCATCACACTGGGAGAAGTAAGGGGAGAAAGGAAAGAGAGGGAAAAGGTTAATATAGTTTTGTCCCAGAAGTGATCTAGGACTAGAATATAATAGTGTCTGCTTTCAAGAGTAGCATGTTAGATAACAAGGAGTGTTAAAGGCATAGCAAGGGCTGTTTCTTTAACAAAAATAAGCATTTACTTCAGCACCAAGCTATGTTGCACAATCCTCATGACAGGTCAGAAATTTTCTTTCTACAAATGTCAGAAGAAAAACAATTCATTTATACAGTTTTTAGTGAAAGAGGTAAAAATGGATATGAATACTGCCATTTTAGAAACCAGAAAGATATTATTTGCTATTGGTCCAGTTTTGGCTGATTTAGATATATCATATATCTTTGGTTTTTTTACTTCAGATTGCAGTCTGTTCAAAATGCAATTGCATTAAATGGCCAAATACTGAATACAAAGAAGAATGAGAAGAGGGCTCCTATGTTAGTCAGCTCAGGACTTTAATCATGGTTTGGTGGTGATCTCTGTGAGATTCTTCATAGGGCATTGACTATACTTTCCCTCTATAAACAGAAGACAACTATTTAACACAATAGAAAAGGAGAGAGGTTGAGAGAAGGCGTGTGATCTTCTGAAAGGCCTATAGACACAGAAATGTACAATACTACAGTGTGTGTATGTAGATATATATTCATAGATCTGTACTCTATAGATGCATGCAAGTAAATATAGATGGGAAGAACATGTTGCGCTTTGCAACTTGGAGCAGCACCGAGCATATCAGTGGGGACATAACCATCCATTTCTGTATTGCTGCATTTCCTACCAGAGCTCCTGAATGGAGTGTCAAGTTCTTTGAGGCAGATAGGATGAGTATGACTGAGAATGACAGATGACTGGAGAGAAAGTAACCCTGGTTGAGAGGGAAGAGATGAAAGGATGTGGGGAGAAGGAAAATTAGAGCTAAGGGAGGGCATTAGAGAGTGCTAACAGCCAGTTTGGAGCCCAGCTGGAAATTCTCGCGTGAGACATGTTTAGCTTCATGTGAGTAAGTGATTGAAATCTATGCAAGTGTTTCAGCTCTTATGCCCCCAGAATGGTTTTCTTCAAAGTCCACTTCTCGAGTAAATTTCATTTTGGCTTAAAGCTAGGTGGCCTAGTGTTAGAGCAGCTTGCACTATACTGCACTAATTACTCACTGTTGTAACTGATGATGCTTTCCTTGGCAAAGTATAAAATACATGCATTTAATACATAAAGTACACACATATGCATGCATATGTCAAAACAGACTAAAAGACACCTGTTCTTTTGGTTCCAGTCTTACAAATACACGTGTGAATGGTTCCACTGAACTCACTGGAGCATTCATGTGTGTTGAGTTACTGGTGTGCATAAATGCTTGATGGATCATGACCTTTTGTAACTCTTCATGCATCTATCTATATATGCATATACCTATACATTTCTATAAAATCGATTATGGATTTATTGGCACAGTCATTTGCTGCATTAATTTAGCATGTATTTGCTATTGTGATGCACCCATGAAAGGTAAAGCCATGCTGACTAGCTGTGTGCATTTAGATGGCCTTAGAATGTACATAGTTACTAGTGACCTGTCTGCTTTTGTTGTTAATGAAGTCCTAGAAATTGTTTAGCAAATCTTTTGGGTTTTTGTTAACATGTTTTTTAATTTAAAAAATCATTTTGTTATGATTAGCTATCAGAAAAAAGTCAATAATCCACTTTTACAGAAAGGACACTGTTTTTCTGAATTGTTATGTGGCTCTATTTTTCACACTGCAGTCTAAAAATCCAGTTACTTTGACACTGATCTTACTAGAAAATTTCCCATAGCTTTAGTAAAACAAAGATCAAACAAAATGTTTTCTTTTTTTCCCAGTAATGAATCTTAATTCCTGCCCTTCATATATTCCTTATTTAGGCCTTGAGTTTTAATCTGAAAAGCTTGAGTTTTTCAGTTGTTAGTTTCTTAAAATCTGGATAGATCCGAGTGAACTACAGGGAAACATAATATACAAAAATTTTATCAAAGGATTGTTTCTAGCACCAGAAAAATGCGGCCACCGAGGAAGAGAAATGAAAAAACCCAATTCACCTGCTAATAACTTAAAGCAACACAGGAAGAGAGACTTACTAAAACCAAAAGTACATAGGAAGTTGAAGAACACAGTATATTGTGGCAAAAAAATCTGGTTTTAAACAGCTTAGATTCTTAGGTTGTGCTGCAATAGTTTCAGCCAGGACAGCTGACATGTCTATGGCTCCCATGCTTTTTGCTTCACCTTAGGTGAAAGATGACACCTCAGCAGCTGGAGTAAGTCACTGACATGGTGTTACAACACAAATACTTTAGCTTCCACAAATGCAACTGCTTGGAAGAAAAGTATGTCCCAAGCAACTAATTCTGTTCACCACAGGGAATATTAGTATTCAGGTAACTGGTGCCTTTCTAGAAGATGATCTAAGAAACAGAAACTTAGACATTTAATCCACGGGCTAATGAAAATAGATGTGGTGGTGTCGAACACATCTGAGAGGATCAAAACTCTGAGCAGCATACGAGTATCCCTGACTCTATACTCCCTCTGTTTCAAACACAGGTGGCTAAGTAAGCTGGGGATGGCTGTAGACCCTCAGACACCAAATGGGAAGAATGAGGAAGGTATGCTCCGAACTGTTTTCAGTGTGTAACTACATTGTGATCTTAACAATTTTTGTTCGGCCAATTTTTTTTGCCAGCTCTTTTCTTTCTTTTAAACTGTCATCTTTGGTGTGTCTACTGTCTGAGCTGAGAGAAACCACATTGATACAGAAAAATAAAAAATGGTGAGGAACAGTCTGAGTGTGAGAGATACTTGGTGATCTTGTGAGAGGTGTGTAACTACTTTCTGGCAGTTTGCTGGCTTGCTAAGCCTATCAAGTGTGAAAAGAAACAGCTGTGCTAGCCTGGGTTTTGAGCTGGTGAGTTATATTACAGCAGTTGTGCTACAGCACAGGAGCTTGCAGGCTTGGGAACACTTTGTGCACTGTGGACCCAACACTAATGTCTCCTCCATTCCTGGGGGGTCTCAACAACAGCAATGTTGGGGGACGAGTGGATGGTAGTGCTACTCTGAAGCCTACAATTTTGTTCAGAGCCAAGCCCAAGAGTTCATTATGGAATAAGTAACTTCGAAAGCTCCCAAGAAATATATTTATTGTCTTAATTTGCTCACTGACCTAACAGAATTCTTTGTTGGGATGACACCTGCACCCAAATCACAAATCTGGGCAGAAGACAAAGCAAGTCACCTGTCAGAGCAGATGGAAAAGCTGCTGGTGAGGACACGTGTGCTGGGAGCTGGTTTAGAATGAGAAGTGCTGTGGGTAGTATTATGTTACCAAACCAGGGATGGAGTCTAACTAAATGGAGTCTAAAGCACCATGTGAGCAATCTGTTTTCTCCAAAATTGCAACCAAAATCTCAATGCCCGTTGCTAGCTCCAGGAAAATTTACTGGTTACAGAGATTAAGGAATCGCCTCTGCTGCTTGCAGCAGCTCTCCTTAACTTCTGCTACAAATGAAACTTCTCTTTTAAAGACTGCAAAGAAAGGAAAAAAGCCACCCCAAACCTACTCGTTAAGCTATCTAGAGTAGTGCACCCAGTGTTTCCTGTGGTAGCAAAATAAAAATTTTTTTTTTTACTTTAAAAAAAAAAGAAAAAATGGTTGCCATGAAGTAGTGTAACATTACCATGAGTGGGTTAGAAGACACTGACTTGTTAAAGTGTGGTCCTTAGTCCAGAACATCCTACTTGGTGATCTTTGGTTACCACAGTGCTGTGAGGAATAAATGAGTGTTGGTCTGACTCTATTTTCACTCATTTTCCATCTCTGCCTCAGAATGCTACAGTGAAAGTGAACACGATGATCCAGAAATAACAGACATGCCACCTCCTCCCTACACAGTCCAGCCAACACCTCCTTCTTCGGTAAGTGTTCCGGTGATAAGCTTTTACTTGTGGCTTGCTGGTTGGAACAAAGCTCTGTTGAGGTGGTGAACCTTTAGGAATAACCTAAAGCAGTGTCTGGAAGTGTTTGCCCTGTGTGCCTGGGAAATGTGGATGCACTGACTAACCTTGTCCTGTGGCAGAGCACACAGTTATTGCATTCTGCACCACAGGGAGCCTCGGACTGTAAAAGAACAGCTCTTTCCAATGGAGGCATACTCATCTTACTGGAGAAAGGGAGGTGTCACTCTTCCTCATACACACACTGTGTCTTTTTCTTTGCAAGGTTTTTAACACACTGCTGTATCCTAGTTTTTCATAGTATTAGCTCTATTTTTTAAAATCTGTCATGAAACATTTTTCTTTTTGTGGCCCTGGTGGCATCACCCAATAGCTTTGTATCTATTTATTTGAGTGCACTCTTTTTAAGACTGCTGAATTTGAAGCTGCTTTTGTGGCAGTGAAGTGACGTGAAAGAGGCCTCTTCTTATACCGATAAAATCTGTTCTTTTCCTCTACCTCAGAAAAATAGACTATGAAGAAAGAAAACTGGCACCCTTCCAAAATGTATGCTATTTTTCTCTCTAACTGTAACATATTTGTCCAGAATATTCCTTCCTGTCTCACTTCATTTCATAAATTAGAATAAGCACTGTGCACCCTCATGTGTCTAATCAAATTGACTTGCCTAATTATTAGCCACTTATTGCCCTATTAATCTTGTTTCTATATCATTGCTTTTCCTAGTGATCTCATCTCTCTCGCATGTGCTTTAGAATGTGAGATTTACTTAATTATGTTTTGAAATGAGTAATCTGGTTTGAGGTGCTAATGCTGCTGAAATAAGGAATCCTGAGTTCAAGCCTTTCCCTTCACTAGCTGGAAGTATGAGTTGAGAGGTATGCAGTAATACACTTAGTAAATTATCTCATTGCACCTCATGGAAGGGAATTGTCTGCTGCCTCAGTGGTGTGGTACAGGTTCCTACGTGGCATGTTGAAATGACATCTAGTAGCTGGGGTAGGCACAGAGGCAGCAAAGCAGGAGCAAATCTGAAATATACAGATGAGCTAGAGAAGCTTGTGTGATCACAGGCATTAATAAAAGGAAATGTCATGCACACGGTTGCCTGTCTGGCAATCTTTAATGAGCTCACATAAAGCTGGGAGTGTATGTCACACTGTCACCCGCTTGCCCCCCTCAGTTTCAGTCAGATAAGTCAGTCTTCACTTCCTCTCCTGAAACAGTTATGTAACATTTATCACTGTAAAACAATCCACCTGGAACTTGGGGGCCACGTGGTGTTCACTACTGTGTAGAATGTGATTCTTTATTGCATGTATTAACTAACTAGAAGGTAAATGTGGCCAAGTGGCTATAAATATCAGAGAAAATAGGAACTTTGGCAATACGTCTCCAACAGTTATTCTGGGCTGAGGGTCAATGACGAAGCATCTTGAATTTTATACCTCAGTGGATTGCCTTTAAGAGGCCGTAGATGTCTTTTTCATCTGCTCACCTCTGAGTGAATGCCTGCATTTTTCCAGATGGAGTTTTAAACAGGTGCTGATTTTTAGTTTTCTGTTTTTCTGGCTTCCTGCTGCTTGTTGGTCTGTTGCTGCACATGTGATCTCCAGTTGTCTCCTTCCCTATGCTCCTATTGAGTTCTGGCCTCCACATCTTAGGGGATACAGGAAAGGCAGGCAGTGGTGCAGATGCTTGAGGGGTCCTGCATTCTCAGACTTTTCCTTAAAGGTTTTCTTCCCTCCAGTCTTTATCTTTCTCTGCTGATTTCCCTTCTTCTTATGTGAACTTCAATCCCTTCCCCCACCGACAAATGTTAGCATCTCCTGAGCAAAGCTATCATCTTTTCGTCCAGAACTGGCCACTGGAATAAACTCCAGTTGCCATGGGTCTGCCCTGTGCTCAGCTTGCTTACACGGTGAGTAGGAACAGTTAGGTACCAATGCTTCTACTGGAAAGTCAGTTCTAGGAGTGGAGCCCGTGATTGTCTCAGGGAAGGCTGCTTAAACATTGCTTGCTGCCTGCTTATTTGTTGCAGAGTTCTTGAACAAAGCTTCGAGGTCCCAAACGTGGTGGATTTGGGTTGATACTCTGTGGGTACACCAATTTTGGAAGGCCTGCTTCAGTCTTCTCAAATTGCTGCTGGAAGTGACAGTCATCCTGGAAACTCAGCCCAGCATCAAGAATGCCACAGGCATTGACTGGAGTTAATCGATTTTTATTATTTTTATGGGTGTTTTTTCTTTATTTTTTAAATAACCCTGCACGTCTTCCTCCTGAGTGCAAAGGGATTTTGCAAAATAGGAATGAGGAGCTATGGACATTTTGGAAAATAAAATAAATGCTGTCTTAAGCTTCTTGACATCAACTCCAAACGGAAAACTATTGGTGTGGAAACTCATAGACACCTAGATGCAGGCTCTGTTACATTTTAGAGCAGCAAACATTTTGCTGTACTTCTGGCACCAAGTTTATACTTGCTGTTCTGTTCTCTGCTGACCTAAACCGTTTTGAAACTTGAAAAAGACAAAATTAGTGATCATGAGCTTTCCATGTTTATGCATGCTTTTGGGTACTGTGGAAGAACAGAGCAAGTGAGGAACAAGTATGTTTTAACATCTGTAGGACAAAACTTAAACTGACCACAGGCATTAATTTGTCCATGTGCAGATGGATTTACAGTTCAAAAATCAGCAGATATGTTGACCCAATAGGTTGCATTAGTCCCCAAGAAGCAGTTGAGGTGTTTCATGGCCCCAATTTTTCTCTAAAATATGTCTAGAGACTCGTTGATTTCCAGTGGAATCCTTGTGATCTGCTTTTTAAAATATCCCCAAGTGGAGATTTATTATTATATGGATGATTGCAAAATTTCCAAAGGGACCACTTGAATAAGTTAGGTAAACATTTGTCGTGCCAAAGAAAAAACAAAACACAGCACATATGCAGAGAAAAAGAAACACCTTCTGGCAGTCATCTTTATTCTCACCCACATTTATATTTAACACACAGTGAAAATGAAAACAAAAATATATTCCACTCAGCGCAGCATAGTTTTCATTTAGATAACACTTTTTTTTTTCCGATGGACAAATTCCAGAAAAATAGAGGTGCGATCTAACATCTTCCTTTCCTGGCTTTGAACAATTTAAATTAGACCATCTGCACCACGTGAGCCAGAGCTTTTACTGTTCCATAGTTCTGCTTGACTTTACAAACGCATCAACTATTTGTCTTTGTGATAGGTGCTCTTAGATGAAATACTTCAGATCACCTGTGTTCCCGAGGGTGCTTTTACCACTCATAAATGTAGTTTATGACAGCATCTCCTTGTCCTTTGCTTTGGGATGCATATGTGGAATTTTCCATTTTAAAAACTAAGTCTGATTCTGCAATGATTGGGACAGTCTTGGAAGAATGGCTTTGAAATTTTACAGAGGTGAACAAAATGCTATAAACAAATGGCACTCACTATCTGATATTGACCTTCCTCAACATCTGAATTGATTAGTAGTTACATGATACAGCTGTATTAGAAGCATATCTGCTTTGCTGCTTTTAATGTAAAAAGGAAGTAGTGTACACTACAGTATACAACACTGCATTGCAGAAGTTTATACATCATATTTATAAAAATTGTCACTCTTGGTTTAGTTTATTTGAATAAATCTTAGTTCTAGTTTTACCAGATTATAAATAGGTATTCCAGGCTACTCCTTTTATTGTGTTTGCAGTTTGTCCAGGTTTCCTTAGTAACACCTTCTCAGCAATTTTCAATACTTTCAGTCTACTTATCATCTGTTTTAATATTTACACACATCTATTCTACATATATACTGAGAACATAAGCTTTCCAGAATTGTGGGTATCACAAGTCTAGTACTCTGCTACTGGCATTGGCCAGTAGCAGATGATTTGCAGAAGAAATACATTTCTGCAGTAGCAAAATATCTGGCTTACATATCATGATGATTTCATCACAATTTCTGATTTGCTTTCCTTCTCTTCTGTTAAATTATTTATCCTTATTAATTGATTCTATTCTAAATATTTGCATGTATATTTGTGTGTTTGTGTATGTATCACTTGTGAATTTGACTCTCTTGGCTAATCCCTTTGGTGGTGTTTGGTAGCTGAGAAGCAAACTAGTGCTAGTTCTTCATGTGTGAGTTGCTTTTGGTGACCCGATAGTAGTAGAACTCAATCCTTGTAAACTCCTAGTGTAGACAAAGACCTGGGCACCTAATCACTTGACCGGGAAGCTAAATGCCTTTCAAAATATTGTTCTTTCTCTCAACCTTTCTTTACATAGAACTATGCATCTATCACATTCTCTCTCATTCTACTCCTAGCTAATAATAATGGCTGCTAGATGTTTTCCTGAGTGGGTGGGGTCTGTGCAAAATACATGAACAATACAAAAATAAGCTTACTGTATTGTCAAAGCAGCCTAAGCAAGGTAATACACTTAATCATTTGTTTAAGGTAGCAAAAGATTAAGCAAAGTGAATCAACGAGGCAATGCACCTGATCATTATTACAAAGAATTAATAATAGTGATTAAGAAAGATACATCACCATTTGCCTTAATACTTTACCATCATGCAGATTCACAGTTCCTGGGGAGCCCTGGTTGCAGAGAGGATTTGGAGAATCCCTCCCAGCCATTGCAAAATCCTACGCAGTGCATCCACTCGTAGGTGAGGTCTCCAAAGTCTCTATGACTGGGGTCCAGCTTTTATACACTTTAACAAACAAAACTATTACAATATGTGTGGTACCTGGTTTTGCTTCCTTGTATTGGTCAGGCAATGGACCAGGCCAAGGTCCATGTTCTGGGTGATACAAGCCTATCATCTTTTACTCTGTTTCCACATTCTTTATTTCACTTTATAATTGTTTAATCCACTATTATCACACCAATCGGGTGATCACGTGCCTTGTATGAGAATTTAGAGCTGTCTGCTACTACAGTATTCATGAGAATTTGCTTCACAACAGACTTCTAGTTTTATGTGTTTCTGTTGAGGGCCTTCCTTAGGATAACTTAATGATTTCTGATGTGTTTTTAGTGAAGTTTGGATCCCTTTCCAGATTTATGTACTGAAGAATGAATTTCAGAAGGTGAATGAGCAGCACAATTCTTGCACCATTCCCTATTTCCTATCCTCTGTCTGTTTTTCCTTTCCACCATTAACTTACCATCATATTATCTATCAGCCTTCTTGCCTTGGGTGGACCAGGTAAATGTGTGCTGAAAAGTTCAGGGTACTTCAGTGCCTGGACTCATTTCTGTCTATCTGTGGTTATGGCATCGGTGGAATTGTTGAATGCTTCAAGACAACTTCATGTTCAGTGGGTAATTAGGAGTTTCTCTCCTGCACTCTTGATTAGGCCTTTAAAGTGAAATCAAAGTAAAGAGGGAAGGTGAGTGTGAGACCTAGCATGGAAGGCTACATTCAATACAGTATTTTCCCTTGGTCTTTTGTTTCTAGGCATTGTCAGGTTTGTATCTCTTTTGCCTCTGTCTTCCCTGTGGCTTAGTTTCTGAAGTTACTGCTTGGAGGGGATTGGCTGCCATACCTCAGGTTTCTTCGGATGGATAATTAATCAGATTTCACCTTTTTTTTTTGTCATCTGCATCTGCATATCTATAATGTGTTGAACAGGAATAACTTGGAAATAATTTTTCTATTTTCCTCCCCCCCCCATTTGTTTCTGGAAAGCAGGATTATCAGAAGTCATCTTTCACCTCAACTCTGTCAAGTGAAGCATCTTGTTCTCTCTCTTCTCCTGAAAGCACTTTCAACTCCCAAGAGTCATCATCTTCCTTGACATCGAAAGTGGTTTATTCTGAGAGGCAGTCCTGGCTTGACCTAGTTAACAGCTCTGCCACAGAAGAGGGTGATCAGCCTTTAACTTTCTGTGTACACATTCACTCTGATGAGCCACCAGAAGTAATCTGTGGAGAAGCACCAGAAAACGAGGAAGGACGGCTTTCCCAATTCAATGGTGGATCCCAAAACTCTTACTTAAGTCCAGATACACATTGTCTAGCTGTACCAGATGCACCAGGACAACAATCACTAGCCAAAGGTGAGCTAATGAGAGGAGATTTTTGCTGCAGAGCCATACAATATGGCAGTTCAGGGCTTTCCTCCACTTCCTTTCCCCTTCCTTCCTTTATGTTCTTCACTGAGGATTTTTCCAGTCACACATGATTTAGTTCATTACACATTAAATGCATAACCTAGTATCTAGTTAGTAGGTACCTTTACAACTTTTCTCAAATTTTACCTGTATGTTACTCCATAGCCTCTGTATATAATTCTAACATAGACGTAATTTGATTGTCTCTATTTCAATGCAGATGTCTTTTATTAGTTAGGATTGAATAAAAATTTTAAGAAAGTGTGCCATAGAAAGGACATCCTAAGCAAAATGGAATATGTAGGAAGTGGTGAACATGGGGTTAGGTCAATCCAATTTAAAAAATAAATGCAGTTGCATTTACCTGAAGTGTATATTCCCCATTTGTTTCAGTAAGCATCATTGTAATCAAGAGAAAACAACTGCAGTCCTGAATCAGAAGGTCCATTAAGACCAGATTTTGTTTAAGAAAATAGGTATCTGCAAAAATATCCTCTTACTGAAATATCTGCTAAATTTAAAAGTTGGCATAGTTCCAGAATTTGGTCATTATTACTGTTCATAACTCTCCTGTGTGATGAGGCAACATCTCCTGCCTTTTGAGCAAAGCTTCTCTCTACGTTAAAAGCAGCTGAAGGTGTTCCTGGCATATGATTATGCAGTGATGAGAAAATACTCAGCGTGCTGCCTAGAGAGGTAATACACAGGGGAGCAAAAAGGTTCTCGTGCATCAGGTCTACCCATGATTCCAAATTCTTGTAAAGATTTGAAGTGAGTACCTTGTTGCTGAAGAAGCAGGGTTGTCTCAGCACAGTTCCAAACAAAGATGCACCTAAAAGCTTAGGTTGAAGCTAATGCAAAGGTGGAAAAAACAGCACTGGACTTGTTGGGAACTCAGGGTATTTCTCTAGGTGAACTTGACACTGATTGAAAAATGATAGTATAAGGCCAGTTAGGCATTGTCAGTCTCCCTATTGTTTTACAAATATCAGCAGTTAGCACCACTTTATGTTGTCATATGTTTTTCTGATTTTACAAAACACTAAATCAAACCAAACCAAACCAGAAACAAAGCAATAAAAAGGGAAATTGATCAAAATACAGTTTTTAGCAAAAGTCAAAATGAATTCAGAGTGTTTTGTGCTTAGCTTCATTATTCATCTTCTAGGCAGCTCTGCTAGAAACTTCTGTAGCAATGAAGATCAGAAGTAAAACCCAGAGTGAACACGTGTGCAATTTCTATGTGGTGGAAAAGACTTGTACTTTCAGAGAGTTACTGTGAAACCTAATTCCCAAAACTGGCTTTGCAAGTTGTGAAAAGGCTGCAACTGGCAGAAATGGGGTTACTAATGAAAATGTCCCAAGACACAGTAAATGCATTGTTTTTGGGAATTTTACCTTCTGGGTTAAATTTGACTAAGTAATTCCTTTGGAAAACATCATTACGGAGATTCAGGTGTATTGTTGGAATGTAAGTCATGTTTGGCATAGTAGCTTATAGATCCTATTGAGCAAGATTCAGTGGTTGCTCTTCAGAAATCTAAACTTTTGCTTATAATATGTTACTCTGGTATTGTCAGCAATCCTGCAATAATGCGTAGGTTAATGTTTTTCATTGTGACTGTACATGTGGCAAATACTTTTATGGATGACCATAGAATTAGCATGACACATTCAAAACCATTTAAAGCATAGTTTGATACTCTCAATAGTACTAACCAATAAAAATGTGATTAAAGCATAAATCAAAGCACATTTTGATACATACCTGCTGTTTGCAAGGTGGTTTAATTTTCCTAAGATTATTCCTGGGGAACTGAATTCTTCTGTAGCTCACTGCTTAGCTGATGGGCAACCCTGATCACAGAACACTTCCATCCTAACCCTGTCGGTGATTGCTGATAGAATTCCAGAAATAGATCATTTCACTGAGACAGTCACTATGGAAACTGTATAACCTCACTAGTTACTGTCTGCATCGTAACCCATTGGTAAGCAAGTAAGCTGTACATCATATACAAGTTTTTTTTTCCTTTATCAGTCTGCATATTATGGGGAGGGTATGGAGAGTGTTGGTGGGTGGGACCCTCCCCTGCAATGGCCACTGGAAAAAAAAATGCAATTTCCTAAGGAAATTAGTTCAGTTACTTTGATTTGAGAATGAGGTAGAAAAAAGGGATTAATGTAAAACAGCAATTCAGTTCCAAATGAAAGTTATCAAAAAAGGATGCAATTTTCATTCTGTGACTTATCCCCCAAGAATTTCCCACTCCAGCTAGTTGATAAGGATGTGCACAAATACTGTGAGATGAATTCAAACTATGAGGTAAAACCTGCAAAATCTGATGATTTGCAGTAACTGGTAAGAACACCCATGTTGTCTGATGCAAAACAAGAATGCATTCCTCAGTGCAGTCCATACTATGTGCTTCTGAGTAGTGCATTTCTGACACGTACCAGAGTAACGAGACTGCACTGAGGAGGAGACATGTCTGCCTTGTGTCAGCATTGATCCTGAAAGCACGTGTTCACTGTGTGTACAGTCATCAGAACAGCTACGTGGTCTTTGATCCCACTCTCCATAGAATCTACAGGTGTGTCCATGCTCTCTCCTTCTCCTTGTGAGGTTAAATACCCCCTGTCACACACTCTGCTTTCTGACCACATTCTGCATGGTAAAAACCCACAAGGACTTTTGGTTGCAGCTGTTAACAGCCTAGAGCTGAGGGGAAAGCTTTCAAGAATTGAAGAGCATATTTTTTTTTTCAAAAGCCAGAAACGGAATCCAATGTGAGAAAAGATGGTGCCCAGAAGGAAGAAAGAGAAGCTGTGCCTTTGTGGGAAGAGCTTATAATGAAAAAAATACAAAAATAATGAAGAAACTTTAGTGATGAGTTAAAAAATGAAAGAAGAGTTTTTCAGAGATAAATGGATGAACCTCTGCAAGAGAAGCTACGGATTCAACTAAATGGTTTATTTTTTTCAACAAAAATTATTTAATGAACTCTGCTGAGCATTTGTGTTAGCTGCAAGGAACTGTAACATAGGATATTTTAAATAGCCTTTCCAGTCACTTAGTGGTAATATGAACATTCTCAGCCTTAATTCTCAGCACCAAATGCTGAGGAGAGGTTACATACCAGAGGGTGATATACAGATACAAAGAAGGGGAGTTTATAATTTTTGTCTTTTGTAAGGAGGTTAACATTATCCTTCTGTTTATTTTTTGGGAATATTTGATACTTTGGTGTTCAGCTTGCTACATGCACAATGACAAAGGAATCAAAGCTGCCTGTGACAAAAAGAAACTGAAAGGTGAACAAGAAACAGTTGAGAACACAAACAACTATCTGACTATATGATCTGTGTCCAAAAGCTGACCTTGACTGCTCCAGGATGGCTATTTCTTCTGACAACCACTGGAAGAAAAAGTGTCTGACTATGACCCATCACCATAATCATCAAAACACACGATAACAAGAGGAAGCCACTGGAACTGAGAGGTTACTGTAAGACAACAGGAATATGTGTTTGCATTTATTTAGGAATCTTCTACTATAGCAATAACATCCTTCTTCCTTGTATTTTCTGAGGGGTTTATGATCATATGAAGTTAATGCATCTTGGCAAGGAATCCTTATTTTACTTATTATGACTTCTGGTTTATTTTATCTTAGCTCACAGTAGCTGGTAGAAGATCTGGTCTGTGCCAATATTTTGAAACACCTGGATAGCTTTTTAGATACCACTTGAATTTAGTCTGCGTTGGTTTTGTGGGAAGGAATTGGTTAAACGGGAGCTGGATGCATTCAATTCCTTTTGTTGTCAGAACTGACATCCTCTTCCCCTCTGCAGTCTGCCTGTGCCAGTAACAGCCAGAACAGATCCTCTGGTGTGCTCTGGCCCCTTTGTTCCTTCTGTGAAAGTCAGAGAAAATGGCTAGATTGTGGCTGAGACTAGCCAAGGAGTATGCCTATGGTGAGAACAACTGTGGAGAGAAACAACTGTGTTTGAATAATTATTTTGTTTCTCATCCAAAAGGCTTTAGAAATTACAGTGAAAACTATGGTGTTACAGTTTTCTGAACTGTCTGAAAAAGAGATACTCATTTGTGTTGTTTCCAGTTCAGTCAGTTTATTAAAATGCCATCCCTCACCTCTGGGTTCACTATACTGTTATAGACAAGAGCATCTGACTGTTGTTGGTAACATATTTTTCTTGTTATTTTCTTCCAGTCTCTCCTACCTTTAGTTCTGCATTTGCCAGTGAGGAGTTTAATTAAGCTATGCTCACTTTATTCAAATTTTTCCTCTATTTCTGTTCTATAGTTATGTGGGAAATGTTATTTCCCTGAGGTGACATCATATTCCTATTGAAAAGTCTATTACCACTGTGGAGTAGGGCTAGGGGGTGGGTATGGAGGTAAGGACAAAAGTGGTTTATGGTTTTTTTCCTCTGTGCTCTCCAGCCTGGATCTATGTGTTGTGCCATTGGCAACAAAAGTTTTGGCAGAATCAGAAACAGACATGCTGGCAAATCTACAAGAAGTTCATAAGAGTAGCAAGGACAGGAGGAAGAAGCAGACTTTTTTTTGCCCTGGGATTAATACACAACTGGGGATCTGTGAGATCTCAGCTACAGAACAGGAGAACAAATATTTACATTTCAGTTTAGATTTAGTTAGATATGTTCTGTTGGAGGTGGTTTTCAGTGCAAAATGCTGTTTCTGCCAAATGTTTTCAATTTCTGTATCTTTACTGCTGGGAAACAATCAGCTTTATTTTTCAGAGCTGCTTTTTGAAAAGTTCTGGATAATTTCACTTTTGTAGGCTTAAAGAGCATTACAGTTGAGATTTCAGGCAGAACCCTGTATTGCTGCTCCAAGGTGGGGAGTCTCAATATCTTAATGTCTCCACCCCGTGGCAAATTGGCTGACAGGAGGGTGGAAGCTGAAAACTGAGGAGGTGAAGAGCTGGTGTGTTGAACCTGTGGCAGTTTCTCATCTGCGATATCTCCTGTTACTCAGAGAGAAATAAGTGGTATCAAGCCACAAAATTGTGTTTTACTTCCCTGGAATCAGAATTTCTCAGCAGTTGTGACTTGCCTAAAATACTACTACTGCTCCAATCTAGAAGGTCTTTTTTGAATGTGGAATTACCTCAGTGCAGAACTTCCCTTTTTCTTAGGTCAGCACTGGTTCTTTTCCACTTTCCTCACTTGTGGAGTCTGACAAAGTTAAAAGAGATTAACAGTACTGAAGAATTTTTCCAGATGTTTTCTGAAGAAGTCTATGAGGCTTGTGAGAGAAGGGCACGGTGCAGACAAATCCTTCCAGTGGCATCGCCTGACAGAATTACTTATAGTCAGTACTGCCGAGGGAAGGGAAAACTGCACAGTGCATGTGTTCCCCCCATGGCATATACACAATCATAAATGCACACAATGTGTAATATCCTTTCACTGTGGATGTTTGCTCCTTACCACTAATCCTTCGGCAGGTCCTGAGAGGAAAAAAATGAATGTATTTTATCTTTAAAATAGGATGAGATATAGAAGTGCTGTAGTAGCATTTCAGTTTCCTAACTTGCATGCCTGAGACAGAAAGTGTTTAGCTTGAAGAGTAGCTGGTGGAAGAGATAACTTGCAATATTTTATTCTGAAGTGATTTTGAATGTGCCTGATGTTAGCTGTGTGACCTGGCCGGAAAGAGCAGTGCTGGTGGGGCCTGATCTGTCCACATGATTAAGATTTTTGACAGCTGAATATATCCATCATTATAAAGCCCCAGAGGTGAAAAAAAGCTCAGACCTGGGGTGGTACCTTTGTGAGGCTGACATAGACAGTCCGTTCATTTTTACACCAGGGCCTGAAGCTTGTGTATTGTGTGCTTTTTGCACATATTTTTACTTTGTGATGGAAAGTAAGTATTTTGTAACAATTTAGTAGTATGGTTTAGACAGTCCAGGTTTCTTTCATGGGAGGAATCCAAATCACTGCAGCCTAAAAAAGAACTGGTGAATGCCTGTGCCTCTGTTAGAGACTTATTCATCTGCAGGTCAGTCCTCTAACTCCAGGTGAAAGGAATACCAAGATCTGGGAAAATGTGCCAGAATGTTTTAATCTGGAGAAAAAATCCAGTCTGTGCTTAAGCTTTGACTCATGTTGCTTTATTTCTATTATCCAATCTTAATTTTCTCTCATGTTTTGTGGGAAAAACAAGCAAGCAAACTAGAGATAGTGCTTTCTTAGTTTACTTTTGAGGCATAAAGAGGCTCACGAAATACTGTAATGCACCACTGTGTGAGTGAGGAGAAATATATTTTCTTATCACAGGTCATTTTATTGGCTTGTTAATTGAATGCTAGACATAATACCTCTGCCCTTACTCCATTACCTCTCCCCCTTTCAGATTTACAGCATCAATCTAGTGGATTCAGGGGCATCTTCAAGCCAGCAAAACATGGGGTTTTGCTTTCTGAGCTTGGCTCAGGGAAACTCAGAACACTGAAGGTAAAATTCCACATAGGTAACAGACAGTCTGGCCCCAATGCAACAGTATCTGCTTCTAGGCAAAAGCACAATATTAAGATACTCTTTTGCTATTTTTTGGTTGTTGTAAAAGTTCAGTACTTATCAAAGATGGAGACAAAAGTACTATATAACTCATAATTCGCTCTACACAGCCTGTAGGTATCACTCACCCTCATTTTCATTCAAGAAGATGGAGACAGGCTTTTCTCAGTGGTGCCAAGCAATAGGAAAAGAGGAAACAGGCAGCAACTGATACACAGGAAGGTCCACCTGAACATAAGGAAAAACTTATTTTCTGTGCAGGTGACCATGCACTGGAACCAATTGTCCAGAGAGGTTCTGGAGTCTCTCTCCCTGGAGTTATTCAAGAACTGTCTGGATGCAATGTGCTCTATGATGACCCTGCTTGAGCTGAGGAGTTGGACCAGATGATCTACTGTGGTCCCTTTCAACCTGACTCATTCTGTTTTTCCAACAGTTTGCTGAAATTCAGTTTAGTTGCTTCACAGTCACTCCCTTTATCCGCCTGATCTGAAGAATCTGGCACATTCCTTTCCCTCTGAAATTACCTGACCCTAATTAATCCTTTAGGGGACGAGAATGGTGGAAAAATAGGAAGTAGGAGAGGCATTTTAGATCATGGTCTTAAAAGACTACAGGAGCTGAGTGCACATTGCTGGTCAAGTGCATCATCTGTGAGCCTTTTGCTGGGCTTTTCTGACTTTGGGTCCATCTTTTTCTGTACCAAGTATTACTGTTCTTCTTACCAACACCCAAAAGAGCATGAAAGATAACAGAGTACTTAGCATGGAAGGAGAGTGTTGGGTGAGGGTGTTTTCTCATGCTTGCTGCTTTGCAACCCTTTTAGGACACAGAGGAACCTCATGAGTTAGCCTAAAAAATTATCTGAAGTAGGGACATTATGGATTGACTACTTTTAAAAGTTGCTGGACAGGATTGAAACGATTTGTTTTCTTGTTATATACTCTTTCTTGGACAGCTGATAAAAGTCAATTTGTCCCTCAAAGTGTTACTGTGTCCAGTCCTGATGGGTGATGTCTACAGTACAGTTGAGCCAGTCCTGTGCAGAGACTGGCTAATGAAACAAACAGCTGCTTCATCCCAAGAAAGTAGGCAGGAAATTAGTTATAATTACGAGGCTCATGGCATGAGCCAACAGCTTTCAGGAAATACTACTGCCGTGTATTATATCTTACGCTTCCATTTTTTTCTGTTTCCTGCAGCTTGTTAAACATACACTTCTTTTCCTCCCTCCATAATGTACCAATGTTGGAGGTTATATTTAGTTTTTGTCAAGTTACAGTAGGCTTTTTATAATCACAGAGTAGTGAAGAATAGGCCAGCAACACAGTGAAGGCAAATATTTGTAGCATATCATAAACCTTTCTTGTAACCTAAATATTTAGAAGGAACAGGGGTATAAGAGGATGCCTTACTTTATAAAACATGGGAAAGATAAGGACCCCCCTCCTAAGTGGGATGACATGTTGGAGAAGTCTTTTTGCTCCAGCATGAGTGAGGAAAAGGGCTTCTTCCTTTTGTTCAGAAGGTATTTACTGACTTAAGGTGATTTGGAAAAGTCAATGTTTAACTTTTCATTAAAAGAAAGAAGTGCCCATCCAGTTCAACAGGCACATGGAAGACTGCAGTAGAGAAGAAGTACCACCACTACCCTCAGGAAAGTAAAAACAAATTTTATCCCAGTGTATCTTGAGGGATTCATTAGCACCTGAAAACACCAATAACTTTCAGATTTTCCTTTAGCAAACATTGAAGTAGAAATGTCTGCAGTGTGGACTGAAGGGTAAGAAGTGAGTTATGCAGCCTGTTGCTGAAAATGGCCTTCTGCTAAAACGCCCCTGCACATGCCTGGTACATTTTTAGTTCCCGTCTGTTCATTTTTAAGTTGTTCTATTCTGAGAAATGTCTTTGCTTCAATTTTCATCTTATTTTATGCTCTTCTTACTCATTCTTCCTTTCCTGGCCTCTCTCATGGAATATGGTGCTGCAGCTTGGGAGCCATCAGAATAATTAAGGTGGAGATAATCAAGGCTTTGTTGTGAGGCACTACAAGCAAATTCTCTGGTGCAATGTGTGAAACTCAGGGGCTAGGCCTTAGATGTCCCAAGGGTACTTGCTTTAATCTGTTTTCTAGAGACTTTCTCTTGGGGCCTGTGAAATGTTCCTATGTTTCATTTAATCATTCAATTCTTTTAAACTGTTTTCAGTAATTGCCAAAATCTGGTGATGAAGTGGCACACCAAATGGAATTTACCCTGTGACTTGCCAAGTAGAAATTTAATTCACTGTCTACAGTGTGTGAGGAAGGGTGAATGGTTGTAGATGCTATCAAAGTTAGTTTCATTCAAACATAGAATTACTGACAGTTGTTCAAAGTCTGTGACATATTCAGAGCATTAAAGCAGCACTCTATTAGTGAAAATACAGGCTCAGATCTGTTTGGAACATTACCTGATTCTTAAAAACATTTGAGTTTGGAAGTATGTCTTTCTCATATGCATTATTACTCTAGAAATTATCCTAAAAATTGCCCTTGGTTTTAACTCTAATACCATTACTTTCTGACTTGGCTAAGAGTCTTTCTGATGGCTGAACTTTACATTTCTGCTATCTGCTGCCACATTCATGTTGTCATACTCAATTTATTCTTTTCTTTGCAGAGCAGGAAAAATGTGATGATGATGAGATGGAGCGACTTTACAAGTCATTAGAACAAGCAAGCCTGTCTCCCATTGGTGATCGTCGGCTGTCAACGAAGAAGGAGCTTAGGAAGTCATTTATCAAACGCAGCAAAAACCCCTCCATTAATGAGAAGCTCCACAAAATTCGAATGCTGAACAGCACATTAAAGGTGAGATTGCAGAACTGGCTAAGGAAATGCCTGAGATAAAGAAACGGAATGGCTGAAAAAAGAAGCAGCATAGACTTCAGCCAAACTCTAATTGCATATTTACTGAAAGCCCCAGAGAATTTGGTTAAGTTTTTGAATATTTTTGTTTTCTGCTTCATTCTGAATACTGATCTGTGTTTTGTTGTTCAATTTGAACTGGAAGCGGAGGCAATAGTTCAGAAGGGACTCTTCTTGCAGAAGTTCCAGCCCATTTGGAAAATTTAATAAAGCAAGCTTCTCTTAGTTAGCTGGAAAACTTGCAAGCTCAGCTGAATGCACTAAACAGGAGAGCCTTAAAAAGGAAGAGCAGAAAAAGTACATTGATGATAAAGGACATGAAAATGACCCTGAGCCAAAAAAAGTTTTCCTTATGTGATTATAAGAGAATGTACAGGATGTGCCAAAGCTATTGTAAAGACCTCCTGTAACTAAAATATTTTTAATAACAAAAGCATCCTGATTTTATGTTGGAAACATATCACAAACTGGAGGAGTAGAGGGGTTCAGGGGATGTTCCATGAAAGAGCCAGTAAATCTGTCTGGAATATGGGGATTTATGAGGCTGTTTGCTTGCCAGCATCAAGTGTCATGGGATTTCAAAGCCTGCTTCTGAATGATACTGAGAGAAATAGAAGGTTTAACCATAGCATTTATATTGTAGGGAGAAGAAAGAATAAATGCAAACCTGAGGCTTCTCTTGTTTCTTTTTGTATGTATTTGAGTGCATTAGAGGCAGGAATTAGCAGCAGTATCTTGTTCCACATGCATGTATTTGGCTCCAAGCATTGTAAGCTGGAGAAATGCTTGTAAAACAGTTGGACTTAATGATCTCAGAGGTGATTTCCAACCTTAACGATTTTATGATTCTATGATTCTAAAAATTTCTTCTATCACGGCAATCATTGTTTTGATTATTAGTTGCAATGGGAGGCTTGGCTTTGGCACCTCAGCCAGTGTCAAAATTCCTGAAAATACAATTGAAAAGGTAACTGGGAATATAGGTATTCTTCCTGGCTCTGTATGAGATCTGGTGAAGTCTCTTCTCAAGTATCAGAGTCTTCAGTGATATGGTAGTGACTGTAGCAGTATTTATTTGCATCAGCAATAAAGTGACCCCATCACATAGCAGAGTTAGTTTAAGAATTATGCTTGTTTTATAGGATAGGAAGCTAAATACAGAAACATTTTGTGAAGTTTTCCCTGGTAGGATTCTCCCTAATAAATCTAAGAGCCAGTTAGTACAAAATAGAGTTGTATTTTGTGGGGCAATCGCTTTCATTAGTATGGAGCTGAATGGAAGCCTTGCTGCCAGACATGAGCAAGAGGAAAAATATGCATTGATTTAGTACAGGAATATTGTATGAGTTGTGATTAACAGTCTTTTTTTTAAACATTAGGCTTGTCTAACACTTGTATTTAATATGGAAAAATAATTTTTGGAGTGTTCATAATGTATAGCATGTGCTGATCTTTTTTTTATTTCTTCAAACTAAGAAACTGGAGTATTGACAAGACAAATATAGCACAGACACTTTCTCATAGACAAAAACAGAGTTCTATACACAGCAGTGTTTACGTTACTCTGCCTGAAAGGCAAATGGCTGCAGTGGGAAAGTGCCGTATTCTTTACATCAGTGGAGTTATGTCCTTTTAAAGTAAATTTTCTTAACATATAATATGAGACGTAAGATAATCGGAAATAATCTACTGGAAATTTAAAAATCAGGATTTTTTTGCTTCTGATCCATGTGCACTCTGTTTTAATTGAAACTCTATTAGCTTGGGAAGTGATTTATGCAAGCTTTAGTGCAATTTTAATTTTGGACTTTTGACTCCACATCTTTACCAACAGATTAATGTTGCTGCCACAATATATCATTAACAAAACATGCTTTGGATAATTTGGAAGAGAGGGAAGTTATGTGCAAATGCATCAGTCTTAATGAATGTGGGAAATAGATTTAGTGCTACAGGAAAAATTCCATGGCATGACTTTTTGCCATCAAGTTTGTCCAGTGGAAATATTCTTCTTTCACTTCTGCCTCCTTATCTTTTCTCTTCTTCTCTTAGGCTAACTGCACATACCTCTGCATCAATGACAGGAATGTTCTTACAAAGTCTGGCACTGGGTCTTGAGGGTAGGACCTGTGCAAACCTACAATTGAACAACCTTTTGTCTTTAAAAAGCAGCTAAGGCATCACAGAAATTAGAGTAGTTCATTAGAGTAGTAGTGGGATATGGATGTATAAACAGCTGATTGCTAGTATAAGAAAGTGAAATGAATGTGTGGAAGTGTTTTCAAGGCAGCCACCAACACAGAGGGTCCTCAGGTGTGATGAACCCATGGACGTAGAAGATGGTTAGAACTATTCCATTGCTTCCACACACAGACTGGGGGGATGGAACCAGACAAAAGCAGTTAAGGTTTGTTAGTGCAGTGTGGTGCCTTCATTAAGAAATTGTAGCTGCTAAGTACGGCTTCACTATCCTGTGGTCCACTACATGGATAGGCAATAAGGGCTGGAAAAGTGGTTGGTTATGTCACAACATATGAGTACATAAATGAACATAAATATGTGAAAGGAGGGTGTAAAGAAGACAGAGCCAGCTTATTTTCAGTGGTGCCCAGTGACAGGACCAGAAGTGATGCGTTCAAACTGAAACACGGGAGGTTTCTTCTGAATATCAAGAAACACTCTTTTATTGTGAGGGTGACCAAGCACTACACAGGTTGTCCATAGAGGCTGTTGACATATTCAAAAGTCATCTGGACATGGTCCCGCTGCAGTGGCTCTGCTTGCAGAAGGGGATTGGGTCAAATAACTTCCCGAGATCCCTTCCAAGCTCAACCATTCTATGATTCTGTGACATACAGAGTCTCAGTATCCCTATGTCAGGGACTGTTTATATCTTAGAAGTGAACCAGGGTGCCTGCAATATATGACATGAACTGCTCTTGCCTAAAAGTATATACCAGATTTATTAGTAGTAGCTGGTGGTATTTGGCAGCCACATGCTCTAGCCGCTCTTCTGCCAGTGCACAAATTATATCAAAAATTATGTTCAGTCAAGCTCCCAGAGAAAAGACATTTGTAATGTAGCCATAGAATAAGTATTTTTTGAGAAAGTTAGAACTGGTGTGAATTACAGAAATAAATGCTGCTGTGTCTAGTTTCATGCAAGTACTAACCTGTTGTGAGACACCATAACAATATGTAATTTTCACATGAATTTTCTCTCATGAAGTTTTGCTAAGAATTCTATAAAAAATGCCTAGATGAAATCATAATCTTGACTTCAGCTGGGAGGAATTTTTGCTGTATATTTAACTTTGATTGTCTATGCTCTAAAAATGAGAACAAGCTGCCAGGAGGATGTATAATTGGCCATCTCCTTGTGACATGGTTGTCTAATGTTCACAGAGTGGTTTTATTATGGACAATGAGCTTGATAGTTTCTGTGGGAAATAACCACTTGTTCTCTTCCTAGTGTAAGGAACATGACCTGGCCACAATTAACCAGTTGCTAGAGGACCCAAAGTTGACAGCAATGAAGTACAGAGAGTGGAGGAGCACAAACATTATGCTGGTCCAAGATATTTATCAGCAGCAGGAGGTCCGGGATGTGTCTGCAGAGAACAGTGAGGAGCAAGAGATGACTCCACAGCCTGTCACTGAAAGTGCTATCTGATCAGTGGTTCATGGGAAGATTTTTCTCCAGGGGTCTTCACATACAGTCACTTTAAGCTGCTGTATCTTGAGGTGTTTTTTTTGCAAGTGTTCTTCAAAAGGAAGACAACGCCTTCTTCATAGCTTTAATAGCTCTTGCAAAACTCATTTCATGTCAAAAGGACAAATCCTCCAAGTTATAAAAGCATGCCTGAACCTGGGCTGCATACCTAAGAAGGCTGTTTAAAGAAGCAGCAAAGAAAGACTTTTCAGGCTTTGGAGAAGAAAATTATATATGTCCAATTTCTGGAAGTCCAGAACTCTGTAATATGTGCTATACAAATGTGAGATCCTTGGGATTGTTTTAATCATGTAACTTACCTTTAAATGAAGCTAAACCAATGCCAACAGGATCTGGTCTACCATTTTACCTTCTAAGGTAACCTGATGTATGCATTTTCGTCTCTGTATTTATTCACTTCACCACTCTACCAGTTTAAACTGAGACAAATACAACAGAAATTATGCATGAGTTTATACTACAGACAGCCACCAGGCACCTAGTATGGGCTCTGCCTGATGTTTCATGAGTTTCAAATTTATTTGTGGTCCAGACCAAGGTACTGTCTTTCTACATGAAGAAGAGAAGGTCTATAAATTTTTGTTAACATGTAATTTACTCTTCAGTGAGACAAGTTTCAACGTTTCTTATGGACTTGGCAGAATTCCTTGAAAGATTATTTTCTTCTTTCTTCTTTTTGACAATTTTGAATATATAAGGTACAAGTTCATCCCAGAGTCCTGCTTAGGAGGGTGATCAAGCTCGCAAGACAGAAGCTAAATAATTGAATTTCTAATGTGGACTTGAAAGTGTAAAACAAAGCTGCAAATACTTTGTAAATATATTTCATTTTATGGCTTATATGAATGTGACTATGTACTGTATATATGTTTTATTTATATATTTATATATGCTGAATTTCCTAATATAAATAGGCACACATGGACCAGACCCACCTAGATGTGAGTGCTTTCAGGTTGACTTCAAATGCCTCTTTGTTTTTTGTACCATGATGAATCACATAAATGGCTCTACAGCTGAGACTACACTGGGACATCTGCTATAACTTTTTCTTCTGTTTTTCTAGTTTTTATTTTTAGATGAAGAGAATCTGTACACCTTAGGGCCAGAAATGAAGTTTTATAGAAAGTTTCAGGATTTTCCTTTGGGAAAACAAAGTAAGAGGTTTTGCTGCAGGATTGTAACTTTTTGGCTTCATTGCCCACAGTACAAGGTTTGGGTTTTTTGTCTTCCCATCTTCTGTACAAGTATGAACAACTTTTCAGAGTGCTGAATTTTAAAAGCAAGAATTAGCTCACCATTCTTAAATTAGTACCACCACAGAAACTGTGGCAATCTGCACTTCTGATGGCTATTTTAGAAAGATATCCTTTGTCATTAGTTTTCAACAGTTTATCTTTTAAAGAAAGATACACTGCAGAGGTGCAGCATCTTCACCTGTCTTTTATACATTATATGTTTTATCAAAGACTGACCGAGAAAACAAAAATTAATAGTATTAGTGGGAACATATGAAATCTTTTCCATCTGTGTAGTGATTAGTTCAAGTGTTGATACTGCATTTTTAATACTCAGCAGCTTTTCTTTTAAAATAGAGATATGGAATTATGTCTCAATGCATCAAAAAAAGGCAGCTAAGGTTGTGTTGAGTGTGAGAACTGAGGAGTAGACACCAAGCAATAAGAAAGGGGAAACTGAAGGATGGTTGTAGGCTCCTTTGATACCAGCTTTAATGGAAGATGGTCAGAGAAATGGGGTCCGGGCAAAAGCAGAAGCAGGCCTAAGCTTGGTATAGCATCGCTAACCCAGGTGTCAAATGCTTTTTGAGTTTAAGGGTAAGGACTTATATTGGGTCAGGACTTAATAATTGGGATTGATCTGCTTGTGGTGAACTAATGTTTGCTGAGACCTGGAAGTAGGTGACAATGACAAATGGGGAAGCAGATACAAACCCTTGGATGGTTAAAGAAACTATAGTTTTCAGGAAATTGTCATATGAGTGGTGATTTCATAACTTCACTAATTCTAACTAGAAGTTGACAAACATTAAGCAAGTTTAACACCTGGTGAAATTTGATTTAGAGTAATTGTATCTTAAAAATGGAGCCCATTTTAAGTTTATTGGTTTTTTGGTTTGTTTTGGATTTTTTTTTTTTTGTTGTTGCTGGTTTTTGTTTGGGTTTTATTTTTTTAAAAATCTTTCACCATTTGAATTGACATGATGTCAGTTAACTGCTGAAAGCACATTGCAGATTAGGAGTGTAGCGATTAATCTACTCGGCCCATCTCATTTTTAACTACCTGGTGCTACGTAATTGATAAATATTTGGGGTCAAATTGCATGTACAATCACACGCACAAGTTTCTCATGATCCAAATGTGTAAACACCATTTTTCTTCAAAATCATCTTCACTTAGATCTTAAAAACAAGCATGTGCTTAAGTGGCCTTGTTGAATTGGGCCAAATGAGTCAGTGCCTTGCAGTTCTGAGCAAAGTCCTAGTCAATTCCTTTTACTGAAGTTTATTTGCAGTATAAGAAAGAAAGCACTTTGTGGCTTGCACATGCTATGTTGCTTTTTCCCCACTGTGCTTATATAAACATATACAAGACAGTTTTCCCAAATATAGGGACACACAAATGTCCTTGGACTGCCCAAACTCTCCTATTGGTTCGGACAGATTATGTAGCCTAAATTAGCTTCTAAATAACTCTCTTTCAGATGGTCAGTAGATACTTACTGTTGAACTACTGAGATTTTGGAGACCTGCTGAGAATGGGTTATATCAGCCTCTTAGAAAAGAACAGAAAATTCTTGAATGGGGTTACTTAAATCCACCCATTATTTAAACAAATTTCTGTGTTCAAGAAAACAAATGTACGGGGTTTATGCAAGTACTGTGCCAGAAGTCTAACTCCATTCTCTTCAGCTAGTATTTAGACCCGAACCAAATGCAAAGTGTGGAAAATGTGAAGTGAAAATTGCAGTAAACCAGGATTAATTTTCTGGCATTGCTAATTAATGTGACAGTTTTCGCCTGGTGCTGTATTCATCACAAGGAGCTGTGCAACAGCATGAAAGCCACAATTGGAGATAGAAGTGTGTACAAGCCAACAGCTACAGCTAGTGGATGCAGCAGGGAGCCACCTCAGCAGGAGAAATTTGGGCAACTCTGTGCTCTGCTTAGTGATGCTTGGAGTAATTGGTGTCTGTTGGTCTGGATTTGGAAGGCCTGCACTATTAAATCGTAGTATAGGGAGCTGTGCATCCCTCGTGTGTGAATGCCCAGAAGTCTTTAACTGTCTGCCATGGAACTTTATTTATACACTTTTTTTTGGGAGAAGGTGTGTGTGCATGGATCTGTGAGATATCTCTGTCAGTAAAGCCTTTTGGTATTGGTGCAGTAAATCCAGCAATGCAGATTTTGGAATTTCTAACAATATCTGGTTTCAGCTGTATTTGCAGCCTGTCTCTGGTAGCTTTTCTGGAAATTGAATCTCTCCATTTTGGTGATGTAGATCTCATGAGTTACCAGAATAAGGTGGGATCACATTTACTTTCCTATGATGGGAGAGGTTTCATGTGGGGATTGTGAATCATTTCTGCATCTAGTTCTGATGATTTAATCAATACTGGGATTTCACTTGAAACAGGAATAAACAGGAATAAATAATGTGTTCCTTTAAATTTTTTGCAAATTTTCATTTTGAAGAAATCTTTCATATTGAGAGAAAAGGCTGTTTTGGGACAGCCAAGGAGGGGAGGGGAAGATAAAAGATGGTATTTTATTTAAAACTATGTAGAAATTCAGAATTTAATATTTATAACTTGGAAAAATTATGAGCATGCTGTGTCTACTGTGTGAGCCTGTAAGCTTACATGTCTATTACAGATTTAATATGAAAACCTGTATTTTTTTAACTCTTCAAGTAGCAAGGGAGTCCATGTAAGCATACTTCTATGTGAGGAACTCCATGTCTTGTGGTTGGGGTTTGGGCTTCTTTTTTGCTGTTTTGGTTGTTTAGTCATACAAAAGTAACCAATTGCAATGAGGGCCTGGGCTTACTTAATTTATATGAGACATGTCTTTCTGTTAACAGGAAGCCAGAGTGGTTTTCTTGTAGAAGGAGGAGAGCCAAAGTGGAATTTCCTGTTTTGTGTGGGGCATTTCAAAGCAACAGACATTTTAAGATGTCAGTGAGCATTTCCTTGACAGCTTGAACATTTGCCCTGTTTTGGTCTGCTTCAAGCTGCAACATTCTTGTGTTTATTAAAAACTGGCTTCGTTATGACCTGCAACAAGAATTGAGGTGAAAAAACGAAAAGGAGAAACAGAATAGAATAGCTCTGAGCTAAGATCAAGCTGAAATTCTTGTCTTTGCACAAGGGTAGCTAAGCTTGCCAAAAGCTAAGCATTTCAACACTGAAAAAAGATTGTAAGGTGTTGAAGAGAGTACTACATTCCTTGAAATTTGCTGTGGGAGAAGTTCCAAGACCTGTCTGCTCTGGAAAAATGAATATTTTCCTAATTTATTTCCTCCTGATAAAAATCCAAAGGGAGTGCATTATAAACTGGCAGCAAGTTAAAATGAAATATGCATGTAATTCATGGATAGTTCAGTAACCTTGATGTATAACCTTAAAATGGTTGACTTTAGATGACTTAGCCTTTAACACAGAAAATCCATTTCTTCAGGAAAGCATTGTAGCTACCAGTGCCTGAGGCTTATGTACCCCATCTGGTCCACAAGGTCCATTTTGAGGATGTATGTGTATGGCATTTCTATAGGGCAAACAGCTTGTGTCACAATATCATAGCTTAGGAACCCCTCCCTGTGTCCTAGATGCCTTAGGACCTACCCAGATTATTTCGGCTCTTGAAGTTGCGTGTGGTAGATTTACCTTCTCCCATCTAAAAATAAAGAAAAGAGGATATGAA